CCAAAAGCTACACAAAGAAACCCGGTCTCGAAAAGCCAAAAAAAAAAAAAAAAAATTAGGTTATGGGTTAATGAATAAAAACGAACTTTGTTCATCAATGATGTCAAAACCAGGGAAAATTATTAGAAATAACTCTGTTATGTCATAGTTTATTAATGATGACTAAAAGTTGAACAAGAAGAAGTAAAACTCAAGTCCAAAAACAAAAATGATAGTCTATGTTTTGGAACAACATGAATCCACCACAGCTTACTAAATTTTGTATAAATAGCGCACTCTGCTTGCTAGTCAGTCAGGGCTGTAATATTCTCCCAACCACCATGCCTGGCTCATTCCTTCCCCTGCCCAACTCCTTACATTCTCTGCTGGAACCTGTCCACTGGCAGGGGATGGTTCCCTGGCAGGTTTGTAGGTGCCAATGCTCTAACTTGATTTTGGCATGTGTTTTCCCATGAGAAGGCTAAACAAAAGCATCTTACTAATTCCCATTACAGCAACAGAGACATGAGCTGCCTGGTGAACAGGTTTTTAGCTGGGTTAGACATATCTTCCCTGGGGACATAGGGCAATATTAAAGGGCTTTGGAATGCCTTGTCTGATGGAAAGGGGCCAGGAGTGCTGGGAAATTCCCTAACATGCACAGAAGAGTACTTCACAGCTTAAGGTTTATCTGTCTTAGAATGCCAGTTGTCCTGAGATTGGTAAAGCTTCCTGGAGAGCATTGTTGGATACAATAGGTCTTCACAATCCCAGATAACCTCCTGGGCTACTCATGACTAGTAATAAATAACAATGGGGGCTTCCCTTAGCATTTGCATCTGAACAGTTTTAGGCTTTAGCCCATTACTTTCTCACAGTTCAATAAAAAAGGTAACAGAAAGACAAAGGAATATTTTCCCCCTCATTTCCATGATAGTCCTAGCATCACACAAGATGGAAAATGGTTTCTCTTTTCCTTGATTCCTAGAGCTGGGGTTCCTGGCCGAGTCTCACCTGCAGCAGCTCCACTGTGGACCCCTGGCACCGATGCTCCAGGTCTGAGATGAGATCTTTCAATGACTGACTCTGGTGGATCAGGTCCCCCTCCGCTTTCTCTATGATGCTCAGACCCTTCTTCTCTTCTACTTCCAGTTTCCTCAGTTCCCTCTGCTCCTCCCGGTCCAGGATGCTCCGCAGGTGCTTAAACTCCGTCCGGATCCGGTGTCTCTCAGGCTCCACCTGATTCTTCAGCACCAGAGAAGAAAAAACAGGCTGCTGGACCAAGGGTTCTCCCTGGGGGAGGAGGGTCAGGAAACAGGCTGCACACTGCTGTCCTGGGCCTGACAGTCTAAGAGTGGAGCTACACAGGTCTGTAGGGCCTCTTCTCAGGCCCTCAGCCTCAAGCTGCCTTTTCTAGAGTTTGGGGATATACCCTGTGATTCTTGGGTGAGTTTAGACTCCAGGAAGCTCCTGTAGGCTCTTAGGCTTTCAGGTCAGCCTCTGCTTCCAATTTCAAGCTCTGGGAGGAATTACTGGCTCACAAAAATCTACCCTTCCCGGAGGTTGAGCTGGAAATAAGACCTAAATTTTTTTCTCCCTCCTTCCTTCCTTCCTTCCTTCCTTCCTTCCTTCCTTCCTTCCTTCCTTCCTTCCTTCCTTCCTTCCTTCCTTCCGAGACAGGGTCTCACTATTGCAGCTTTAGATGGCCTGGTACTTGCTCTGTAGACCAGGCTGGCCTTGAACTCCTAGCCATCAGCCTGTCCCTGCCTTCCAAGTGCTAGAATTGAGGGAGTGTACCACCATGCCTAGGAAGCCATTCTTTCCCATATAGTTGCCTTTAAAAACCTGGGAGATGGCTCAGATGTTGAGATCACTTTCCCCTCTTCCAGAGGAACTGGGTTGGATTCCCCCAGTCTTTAAATCCAGTTCCCTCTTGTGGCCTCCTCAGGCACCAAACACACATGTGATAAGACAGTAATATATGCAGATGAAACACCCAGACACATAAAACAAAATAATACAATAAAGTTTAAATTAAAAAACAAATCAAAACCGGGCTGTGGTGGCGCACACCTTTAATCCCAGAACTTGGGAGGCAGAGGCAAGCGGATCTCTGTGAGTTCAAGGCAGCCTGGTCTACAGAGTGAGTTGCAGGACAGCCCCCAAAGCCTGTCTGGGGGTGGGGGTGGGGAATTGCCTTTTGACTTGTTTGTTACATAACTTCCACCCCAATTACCCTGCACAAGGAAAAGGGCCAGACCAGAGCAAGTTTTATGCAGAATGGGAGACACTGGGGCAGGCAGTCCTGGTCCCTGGCTACCATGGTCACCTTTGTTGCTGTCCCAGATCACCTTCAGGAGAATCCTACTTGCCTTCCAGGACTCCCTCTTCTCTTGGATAAGAGCTTTTAGCCGCTCGGCTTCCTGCTGCTCCTTCCTCAGCTTCTTCAGAGACTCCTGGAACATCTCCTGGAAGGAATATACCAGGTTAAAGAGGGTCCAGCCTCAAACTGTCTTAGTACCTACACATGGACCAAACAGGATGAGATTATGCCTACCCCAGCCTCCAAAGTGCCTTCTCTACACAGAAAATGCAAACGTCTTACTAGACAAGCAGGCAAGAAAGAGAACCAGTAAATCTCTGCTGCTGAGCTGGGTGCTACCTTCTAGTTCAACTTCTAAGTAAAGAGTTCTACAGGGAAATTTGGGCTTCAGGTATAGTTCAGTTGGTATAGAGTGTTTGCCTAGCATGCAAAAAGCACTGAAAAACTATGAAAATGATGGCAGTAAGACCAGAAGTTCAAGGTCATCTTTAGCAGTTTGAGGCTATGCTGGACTACTTGGGACCTTGTCTCAAAAAAGAAGAAAACAAACCAAACCAAAACAATTAGAGAATATGAAATAAACTCAAGCCCTGGACCTGCTCCCACCTGGTAGTCCTTGGCCACCTCCTCCATGAGGAATGTGTGATGACCATGGTGTTCTTGAGATCGCTCACAAAGCCAGCAAATTAATTTCCCATCTTCCTTGCAGAAAAGCTGGAGTTTCTCTCCATGAAGCCCACAAAGAATGACCTCTCTCTGCTTCCCTGGGCCCAACACGGTCCCTCTGAACCTCTTCACTATGATGGCCAGGTGTCGATTAGGCCGGAGGTTCTCGGGCTGGTAGGCTGTCCGGCACACAGGACAGCGGTTCTTCCCTTCTTGGTTGGGCACTGACTTGTCACTGCTTCCTGTGATGCAGTCCTGGCAGAAGCTGTGGCCACAATCTATACTAAGGGGTTCTGTCAGTAGCTCCAAGCAGATAGGGCAGGTGACTTCATCTCGGATGTCCACCAGAACTGCTGAAGTCATTGTAGCCACTCTCTTGGCTCCCACCTGTCCAGCTCTGACAGATAGACCGTTCTTGCTTGTAGAATCCTAGGTAGAGAGCAAATGAAAAAGCACAAGTTAAAGAAGGAGAGAGAAAAAGGAACGGTGCTATGCATGCTGAGAAGAGAAGGTAGACACATGGGGTAACAAAGGCCTCTCCCTCCAATTCCAACACTTTACCTACAACAAAGGCCTCTCCCTCCAATTCCAACACTTTACCTGAGCTCTCATCCAACACCAACTTCCCCTCTTATTACAGTGCTTACTGTTTCCTTTACCTCCTACTGGATAGAAAGATAAACAGGGATGCTGGAGAGGCGTTACGGAGTTGCCCACCCAAGCATGTTTTCAGTGTTAAAAATAATAAACACATGACTGTGCCAGGACTTTTGGATTTGCTGTTCCAGTTGCAAGGGGGCATTGCATTGTGGCATCTGCACCAAATGACTTCCTCCATGTTGTTTTATCAGAAGGCAGCCATTCTTGGCAAGCTCTCACTAGCTCTGTTTTTTTCTTATCATCACCAGGCTATCTTTAATGGTCTGAGAGATCAGAGACCTTTGTTTCTTGTTCATGATTGTACCCACAGAAGCTAGCATAGGACCCTCCTTTAGTGGATGAACTGATCCTTTCCCATGAGCCTTTTCACCTCATGGTTTTCAGTACCCTTGAGTGGTCTCCAGGATCACAAGCATCTAACTAAGTTTGTGGACATGTCCACCCTTCTTTGTTCCACTCATGCCTCTTTCTCAGCTTCTTCCCCCAAACCCCCAAACAGATAGGAATGGAAGCAATAGGTTTTACAGCTAACATGCCCCCCTTCTCCCTTTAATGTGTATGGGTGCTTTGCCTGAATGTAGGTTTGTGCACCACGTGCATGCCTGGTATCCACAGGGGCCTGAAGAGGGCATTGGATCTAGGGGAAATGGAGTTAGAGACAGCTATGAGCTGCCATGTGAGCATAGCGAACCAAATCTGAGTCCTCTCCAACAGAAATGTTACTTTCATTTCAGGCAAAACCATACTTGCAATCCACCACTCTCTGGAGAGTCTTTACATCATGAAAGAATCTATGAGAATAACTGGCACAGGAACTAATTGTACTCTACTTATATAATGGTATATTATTGTCAAAAGACAAAATTACAGGAGCTGGAGAGGTGGCTCAGTGGGTAAGTGCACTGGCTGCTCTTCCAGAGAACCAGGGTTCAATTCCCAGAACTGACATGGCTACTCACAATGGTCTATAACTTCAGTTCTGGGGAATCCAACATCCTCCTCTGGCTTCTGAGGGCACCAGGCGCACGAGTGGTGTACAGACATACATGCAGGCAAAACACTCTTACCCATAAAACTAATTAATTAAAGCTGGGCAGTGGTGGCGAATGCTTTTAATTCCAGCACATGAGAGGCAGAGGCAGGTAGATCTCTGAGTTTAAGGCCAGCCAAGACTGTTACACACAGAAACCCTGTCCAGAAACAAAACAAAACAAGCCCCCTGAAACCAAACCAACAAACAAAAACTAATTAAAAATTATGTATATATTCCCCTATGAAGGAGCTGAAATCCAGGGCCATACATTTGCTAGCAGGGGCTCTACCACTCAGCCACACCCATACCTAGTTCTACAAATCTGAAATGAGTTTATATGCAGTCCTACAATCCAACACTAATCTGGACCAAAAATGGCTCACAGCTGGCCTTACCACGGAGGCCAGCTGTTTACAACCAGAGCAAAGGAAGTGACACAAGAAACTGGAAGTTAGGTAGAGACAGCCAGATTGGTTCTGACATCTAAGACTGTTTATACAGTTGCTTCTGATTAGCAGAGACTTGGCTACTTGCTGCAAGAACAAGCTACAATTTCTTTACATATCAAGTTAGGTTACAGTTCATTAATGTAATATGAAACCAAGCTTAAAATGCAGGCTGGCAGCTTTAGGCCAGACTCAACAGTGCCAATTAAATAAAACTGTGATAAATGGAACAGCATTTGAAAATATATCAGTGAAGTCAGACCCAAGGTTTCCAATGTGGATGAACTGCGCACCAGAAAAACGTAGCTGGGAATGGAAAGGAAATGCCTAAGTGCACCAGGGCTTTGCTGGATGTTATACAACTATGTATGCCAAGAAGAACCGTGCCTGATGTGGTGGCTTGTGCCTGAAACTCCAGCATTCAGGAGAGGCAGACAACCTGCTAGGTGTGAGAAACTAGCATGGGCAAAATAGGGAATATTACGGCAAGACCCTTCTCAAACAAGCAAAACCAAGAAACAAACTAAAGAAACAACCTGGGCTTGGCGGTGCACACCTTTAATCCCAGCACTCAGAGGCAGGGGAAGGTGATCTCTGTGAGTTCTAGATCAGTCTGGTCTACATAGAGTTTTAGGATGGGCTAGGAGTCCATAGTGGGACCCCATCTCAGGTAACTAACAAATACCCTCAAAAAGAATTGTACACTTGTGATTTCTAACTTGCTACATATGAATTATAACTCAATAATGCTGACGAAGAATAATAATAATAAAAATAGAAGTGGCAGGGGGTGGGCACGACCAATTCGATAAGATGACTTGGTGCCTGATTGTCTAAAAATAACTTACCACTGCGCTGTTAAATACAACAGCTACTCATAGCTACTGAGACCTGACATGGGTCTTCCAGATTTAAGTATTTAAGAAATATGCACAGACTTTCAAAGCTTTGTAGGGAAAATAAGTATCTTGTAAATTTTAATTTTAATGTCTTAATATTTTTAATGTATCGGGTTCCATAAAGTCAACTAAAACTAAATCTACTCACTTCATCTTTTTTGTTTGTTTGGTTTTTCTGAGACAAAGTCCCACTAAGGAGTCCTGGCTACCCTATAATTTACCTTGATGCTCCTGCTTTTGCTGGGATTATAGATGTAAGTGAAAGTGAACATGTCCCAAACTTTTCTATGTAAATGGGGCTAATAGAATACTTAAAATGACAATGGCCCCATTTTCTATCTCATTAGAAATTGCTGTCATTTCCAATTCAAATGGGACACATTAGATAACCAAGGTAAGATTCTTGAATGGAAATGATGGTACTGGAATTGATGTTTCTTGGTTCTATGAAGACTGGATTGGGAGAGTCTGACTCTTTGGAGCAAGAAGACCAAATCAGTAGTAGCACATGAAAGAGAAAATAATCCAGGGCCAGGGAGCCTAGTTAAACCAGAAGCCCATGGGCTGGAGAGATGGCTCAGTGGTAAGAGCACTTGCTGTTCTTGTAGATAAACTGGGTTTGGTTCTCAGTATTTACATGGCAGATAACATGTGCTTGTAACTCCAGTTCGTGACTTGGATGCCCTCTTCTGGCCTCCATGGGCTCCTGCATGCATGTGGCACATGTATACTCAATTATGATCACACATATACACACTTGATATTTAGATCGGAAGTACCTGTTAGAAGCTCATGAAGATATCAGAATAGCCCTCACAATAAAAATTAGTGATAACCAGGGGACACTAGGGTCAAAACTGGGGACTCAGAAAAGGAAGGAAAAAGACAAGGGGAAAAAACTTGTCCACCAGACTGGACTTGAACTAACTCATGGAGATCCACCTGCATCTTCCAGAGTGCTGGGATTAAGGGCCTGTGCCACCATACCTGGCTAATATTATTTTCTATCTTTATGTAGGCCTATATTCCAATTTAACCTGTGAGAATTGATCTCACAGCACTCAATAGACATAAAACTGTAAAGCAATTAGTTTTAAGCATTTCTAAATTTACCCTTAAAGAATCATTTGTTTATGCATTTAAAAAGTTGTTAACATCAGAAGTTCCTAAAATACTACCATGCACAGTGTTATTCTTTTAAGCTGCAGCTGCTGATATAGCAACCCACATGGAGTTATTTACCTGAGGGCTGGGAAGATGGAGCTGGGTTGTCAGCAAACCCAAGAGGAGCCAAAGAGAGAGAAAGATGGAAGGCTGGACCTTTTAAAGGAAAGGTTGCACATGGGCACTGGGTTTCACACATGCGCAGAGTCCTCACGCAGGCCGCAATGCATGGTGGGTGACGTGGCAATGACTTAGCAAGTTTTTTGTGCGTGCCCCGCCTGTCATTAGGGTGTGGGGTCATCCAGGTATATTGTTCTTACACACAGGTTTTTCTTCTCCTAGTTAGTGATAAATAACCCACTGCATTTTTAAAGGGTAGAATATAATTTCTGCAGATTTATTAAATTTGTGGTATCACACTTGTAATTCCTATTGTTAAAAATGTCATACTTGCCGGGCGTTGGTGGCGCACGACTTTAATCACACCACTCAGGAGGCAGAGGCAGGTGGATCTCTGAGTTCAAGACCAGCCTGGTCTACAAGAGCTAGTTCCAGGACAGCCTCCAAAGCTACAGAGAAACCCTGTCTCGGAAAAAAAGAAAAAAAAATTATACTTTACTGTGTTTAAACATAGAGGCCGTATCTTTTTTTAAGAACACACTATAAAGCATATTTAACACTTTTCATATACCCTTTTTCTTATTGAGACTCGGTCTTAAGTATCTCAGGCTGGTCAGCAACTCACAAGTATCTGAGGATGACCTTGATCTTTGGATTCCCCTGCCTCCACATGGAAAGTGCTGGTATTATAGGTGTACACTTTGTTTCCCCAACCCCCATATATGGCATGGTATCACCCTTTGTCTACTACCTTTCTTTGCTGCTGGGGATCCAACTCAGGGCTTTGTGAGTGCTAGGCAAGCACCCTACCAACTGAGTCACACACCCCAACTTCTTAGCACATTCTCTCCAAAATTGTTTTGATTGTGCATTTAAAAAGAATTAGGCCTGGGGTTTGTCAACAATAACTTCGTTTGAGAATTTACCACTCCAGGTGGTTTGCTATGTACTTAGAACTCTGCTCCAGTTAACTTTCACCAAAACTCTAGGATCCACACATTGTATTGCTCTGCCCATGCTATATATTAAGTGTTGAAGGCTGGGAGGTGGCGCACGCCTTTAATCCCAGCACTTGGGAGGCAGAGGCAGGCAAAAGGGTCTCTGTGAGTTTGAAGCCAACCTGGTCTACAGAGCTAGTTCCAGGACAGCGAGGGCTGTTACACAGAGAAACCCTGTCTCGACCCCCCCCACCACCACCACCAAAAAAAAAAAAAAAAAAAAAAAAAAAAAAAAATAAACCAACAAACAAAGTGTTGAAACTCAAAAGCTAAGTAACAGGCTTAGGGTACAAAGTGTCCGAGTGTCAAGTCCTGCAGTATAGCTGTAACACTTATTCTCTTGAGCATGCATTTTTCTCAGCAGACTGATGAAATAAATGTCCCTTCGGGGCTGGAGAGATGGCTCAGAGGTTACGGAGAACTGACTGTTCCAGAGGTCAATTCCCAGTAACCACATGGTGGCTCACAACCATCTGCAATGAGATATGGTGCCCTCTTCTGGCCTGTAGGCATATATGGAAGCATAATGTTGTATACGTAATAAATAAATCTTAAAAAAAAAAAAAAGTCCCTTTGCTGCTCTGGTAGCTCAGTCATAGCACTAGGGAAGAGGTGTGGAAGTGGGAGGATGGTTAGCTACAAGGCAGCTTGGGTTACATCTCAAAAATAAAAAAATAAAAGAAGAGTTGATAGAATTTACACACGTGTTGATATAGTACATAAATTCAATGCTCCCTCCCGACCTCAGCGAACTCCTTTGTAATCTTGGGCCACTTGGGCCAGAAGTGACTCAGGGGAGTAATGGGACGGTAGGCACCCCTGAGAAGGTCCACAAATGAAGAGCATCCCGTGAGCAAATTTCTCCATACCGCATCGGAAGCCTTTAATTCCGAGGGCCAGAAGCCTCGCTTAGGTCTTTTCCCAACTCCGCCCAGCTTGCCTCGGCTTCCTCAGCAGAGGCCCCAGGGTTCCTAGTTCCCGCTGGCTGCAGCCGGTGCAGACCGGGGCGGGGCAGGTCGAGTGGCTCATCTCCCAACTCTTGCAAATGCGGCCTGCTGCGGAGGGGATAAACTTACTTCCTGGGCAGCCGGGCTGGCGCTGGGGGAGGGGATGAAGACCTCTGAATCCACGCGGGACCCCAAATGGGAAACTTCCAGAATAGCGCGCTTTCGCCTCCAGAATCCAGGTTTCAAAGCCCGTTACCTCCTTACTTTGCCTATTCCCAGCTGCAAACGTGCCTCCTCGATGCTTCCGAATCTCAACGCTGCAGTCCCGCACTCATCCTCCACGAGTGAACCCCAATACAATCTATAAGGTGGCGTAGACTCTGCACACAAGTGGGACAGCAGCGACTGGTCAGAAAATAGGCTTGCTCACCAACCTGAAATCCGTGGCGTGGATCAGTGCCGAGGACTTGCATCCAGGAGACTCTTCGTCCAGCCCAAAGGAGTCGTCCAGGCAAAAGGGAGGAGCTGGCGGAGGAGGCGGGGTTGCCTCTGGGCAGCCTGGGACAGTCTGAAAACCAGGGACCAAGAACAGGGAAAGAAATGCTTCTGTGGAACAGTGAGTGTTGATGCCTATGAGAACACTATCATTTGATACTTAAACTTTCGACCGTCATGTAAGTGTTTAATACACCTGCTGTCGTAACCAATATATTGAACTGTCTAAAAAATAAAAGGTTAGCCTGGCGGTGGCGGCGGCGCATACCTTTAATCCCAGCACTTGGGAGGCAGAGACAGGCAGATCTCTTGAGAGTTTCAAGACAGCCTCCAAAGCTACAGAGAAACACTGTCTTGAACAACCCCCACCCCATCCCCACCCCCACCCCTGTCACACACACACACACACACCCACACAACCAAACCCACACCAACCC